CTCTCCCCCACTCTGAAATATACACTGTTATTTATGCGCTGGATTTTATTGCTTAATAGGTTCCCTGTAGTTATGTCATGCGCGACAAACATTTTAGTTTTCCCCGTTGAATAATAAACAGATAAAACGAAATTTGCAATTTTATGCAGAGCTTTGTGCTTGATATTTTATTCGACATTGTTGCTCAACAAATATTCCCGGCATCTCAAACGGTTATTAAATTATTTTGTCGATGTCATTTCCTATTAAAATGGTAATGGAAACAGAAATTGTGGAAACAATTTTGTACTAACATTTACGCCCCATATTAGAAAAAAAATCCACCCTGCTATCTATTGCATAACATAATTTTCGATGAAATAACAAAAACTAAACCGTGTTTTATTACCAGAACTCCTTTAAATTTGTATAAAAGAATGTCATCTTACTTAAAAGTCATTTCCATTTCATGTATATGTGGAAGAGACACAATCTATCTCTCAAAAACAATTTCGATTAATTAGCATTTCGTTGGGATATAAAATACTAACAAACCTATAGAAAAATCACTTGTTGGAATCCTGTAATCTATTCACATATTATTAAAATAACACAAACTTAATCATTAATAATTTATTGTACATTATATACATTAATAAAAATAGTGTATCCAATAAAAAATATACTTATTCTGTAGGCATGTGGTAATGAACTATCATTTTCATTCCGCATTATTTGTTATCATGTCCGATTTCATTCAAAAAGTACACCCAATGAAATAAAATCATGATGTAACATAGTTTGATTCGTGTTACGGCAGCGGTATTAACGACGTGGTTCGATATTTCGACCTAATTCGTTCACCGTTCCGAGGTTTTCATTAACACGTTCAGTAAGTAAAATGAAAGAACGACGCCATGAAATCACATTACCCCTGGTCACAGACCCGCGGGACTGCGCAGAATGAATAGATTGAACGGCTAATTTGATATTTAAGCACTCTTAACGACGATCCGACGAATTGTGACGTCATCGACTGTTAACGTTTATACGAAAACCAGTGCATTTGCTTCTCCGGAATAATAAGTCACACGACTCGATAATGTTTAAACTTTGCCATCGACATATTCATAATGCATTTTCAGAAGCGATTTATGTTACTTTCGTTCAGTTATGTAATTTTTTTTAAGCCCAAGTTACACATGAATACGATACTTTATTTTTTATGTCACAAATCTATTCTGTTTGTTGTTCAATATTAATTGGATAACACACACGTGTAAAGTTACAAGGGACTCGGCAATAAACTTTGTTTTATATATTTCGGTGGCACATCTGACTAATCGTTTCATTCGGGAGATTTATTGTATGGCTTCTTTTGTTTTATTTTCGGTTGTTTGCGTCGTTGTGGACCGCCAATGTATATAACATATTTTAACTTCAATCTTCTAGCCGGTTTTAAAGCATTGTAGTATAAATAAATAATGAAATATTCAAAACAGCTTTTTTCACAATTAAAACGATATGTTAACAACGATATGTAACAGCTATGAAAATATTCTGATGATTAATAGGAATTTTTCAACTATAACGTAGAGTCAACTCACACACAAGATTTAAATGTAAAATAATGAAATATCTAAGAAATACATGATATTTTTACATAAAAAATTTACATGCTCCGGCGTTTAATTGTAGTTGAGGGAAAAATAATCAAAGACCATTGATAGTAACGTAAAATATACATAAATTAAAACATTTTGAGAAAGTACATGTAACCGCTACACGTCTTCAATGTCGTGGTGTAGGCAAACAGGTCAAGCCGAAATAAACCTCTGATAGAATTGACCTACGCAATGTGGCGTTTCTCTACCGACGCCGAGCGTCCTTAATGGCGTGGAACGTAAGGAAACGCCGAAGTTAGCAAAGTGCTAATTAAACAGACATTAGTAATTACAGTATCGCATGTTTTGGCCGTCTTGTCGGGACCCGCGTCTTGTTTGAATGATATTTTTATTGAAAAAATATATTTACAAAGCCAATACGCATCCAAAAGCTAAACGGGTTCAATATTTATCTGAAATAAAGATTTTGACACTCTATACACAAATAATTATCCTTTTTGGAACTCCTTACTGAATCATGACAGAATCATATTTGAGACTACACTACATAGTATAAAACAAAGTCCGCCCGCTGTCTGTCTGTCCCTATGTATGCTTACTCGTATATCTTTAAAACTTAGCAACGGATCTTGATGCGGTTATTTTAACTAGATAAAGTGGTTCAAGAGGAAGGTTTATATGTATAATACAGACAGGGCGGGTCGCTAGTAATTAATATAGTAAAAAGTAGCATCAGTTATATTCATCCAATTTTTGTCGCACGGTCTGTGCGCAATTATATACGGTGAGGTGTTTAATTATATGGTATACCAGATACTGTAATTTCAATATAAGTGAAATTGGTGTTGTTATTGATGTGTGTAAACATGAATATTAGAAAAGCACATTCTTTTAAAGTGCGCTAGAATGTTCTCACGGCTTGAAATATCGTCTTCTATCTAAGTTCTTTCTATTCCATTTTTAGCAATGCTTGGCGCCAACTAGTGTGCATACTTTACAGTATACATCAACAAACGGTGGTAGGGCCACGCAGCAGCATCGGCTGTTGCACGAATGGGCAGGCTCGTCTGGGTAAGTACCACGACCTCACAGAAGACCGGCGTAAAGTGGAAGTATAATATTTTCGCGTTTCGACTGGTGAGTGAGGTAGCCGGAGCCCATTTTTCAAAGGATGTCCATGGGCCGTGGTATTAACATCAGGTGAACCATCTGCTCACTTGGCACGATGAACATTTTGTAACAAGAAATTTTAATAATTAAATTAATTGCTGCCGTATTATCGAGGACCAATTATTGGCAATATTCAATTGCTATGTCAATGTACACTTGGTGTTTTTATCAAGTTGTACACAAGCAATCAGTTAAGGCATCCATCACATCACAGCTTCTTGATAGTCCGTAAAAGTACCCAGATCAAGCAAAACCACCTTTGCAGAACAACTTCAACATGGCTTTGTCACAGTGGATGGTTTAATATTTCTAATCTCACGGCACTGTCATTAAGGAATAAAGAATCACTTATAATAGATAATTATTATTTTAACCTAATTGAGTTCTGAGCCATCTGCATCCATCGACTTCCCGCGATATGTAATTTATTCCCGGGTCGTCCCACACTGCGATATATAATTTGTAAGTAATTTCGATTTTTTTTTATGCGAAAAGTTGTCAAACGAGCAGACGGTTCACCTGATGTTAAGTGAATACCGCCGCCCATGGACATCTGCTACACTCGAGGGTTACAGATGCGTTGACAACCTTTTGAAAATTGGGCTCCGGCTACCTCACTCACCAGACGAAACGCGAAAGTATTTGTCATACTTCCACTTTACGCCGGTCTTCCGGGCCTGCCCATTCGTGCAACAGCCGAGGCTGCTTCGTGGCCCTACCACCGTAGCTGCGTGGCCCTACCACCGTAAAATTACCACCGATTAGAATATTTTTCGTCATTTTGCATGTGTTGTCCATAATTTTGTTATTCAAACAACCGTGGCAATGGCATTTTCTGTGACAACCAAGCACAGAATAATATTTGGAACACTTACTACCGAAGTCCCTAAACATTTTTAAAGCACACACGTGATATATTACAGATTTTTGATATCATGAAAATTAAATGCACAAACAATTTTGCTATAGTAAATATGGGTAACATTATTTGAATTGTAAAGTTTCAATTTATAATAATTAGATATTGATGTTGAAATAGTGATACAATTGCTAAAAGCTACAGCCAAATATCAATGCTAAAACGAAATACGAGTAATATTAGATAAAAAATTGAGATTAAGGACTTTTAATATTCATTCTTAGTTCTATGTGAAACATAACCAATGTAGGTACGTAAAACTATTTCTTATTAGTTCATATTATAAATTAAAATTATTTATAGTGCTAATCTTTGCACTTAAGATTAAACATGAAAATATGTAGAAAAGATTTTCGTCGGTGTGGCAATCAGCCGTTTAGCTTAGTTGCTAAAGCGTCAGGCCGCGAATGCCGAAGACGTTTGTTCGATTCCCACAGCGATGACAATGTTTTCGTACTTTTTCTACATATTTTCATAGATCATATTAGCGAATTTTGTAACCAATTTGTGTTAAAAAAAGTAACAAGACAATAGGCATTTTAGAAAATTTTGTTTATTTATTTGTTATTTTTCTATTGTGTAAACTCTACCGCTACTGTTGCACGAATACATAGGGAGGTACCTCGCAGAATCTGGCGTAAAGTGAAAGTATTGATTATACTTTCGTGTTTCGTCTGGTGAGTGAGGTAGCCGTAGCCCAATCCTTTGAAATTTGATACTGTAACTGGCACTCTGGATGATTTATAGGTGTCCATGGACACTATCATTTAATATCAATTGAATCGCATGCCTGCTAACCACCGGTTCAGTTTTAAAAAAATGTCTAAGTAGATTTAGAAATTAGTCGGAACGAGTTATAGGGACTAGTTAAAATCGATAGTAAAATGAAGAAACAAGTGAAAGAAAAAGAAGAAAGTTTATAACGATGTAATGTAGCTGACAAAAAAGTTTAAAAGAAATATTTATGGACCTTAAATCTCCAAGAAGCTGTTAAGAACAGGAAAATATTATTTACTTAAAAGAAATTTAAGAAAATTAAATTCGCAAATTAATTTAGAAATTTAAATTCGCAACATTATTTACTTCATTCCAATATTCTAATATCATTAGATTATTGCTACGGTACGGTGTTTAACAAATTTATCTATTAATTTTTACAAATAAATAAATGAAACTTATAAGCTTGGAGTAAAATAAACCAAGGTGAATAATATCTACGTAAGTAGTTCGAATATGAGTATGTCGTTAAATGTATCTTGTAAATATAAAGAAAATCACAAACCTTTGCGGCAAACTTCAGGTTTTCAGTAAACTAGCGGCTTAGATTCATCTTCCATGAGTATTACCTGGAATAGGGTAACTAAAAAAAGTAAGCTTTGAGATGTTTCGGAAAATTATTCATATCTCTAACCTTACCACGTCATCAAATTAGAGAGTTACAGAGAGCTTTCGGTACACGCTATCTAACTCGCCCGGAGGCATTCAGATACGTTTTTCTTTCACGTTCTATCCTTACAGCGCATACTTTATTTCTATTTGCCCGTACCGCGAGGTAAGCGGGGTAGGCCGAGGGTGGGGGGCTAGGGGCACGCGCGTTAGCGTCGCCCCAGCCAGTTGAGGCTGCGACGAACCGGTGTGCGCTTGTCAGTGGAACCGATGCCCATAGTAACTGTGAACCACCATAGTGTCTGTGACGTGATAAAGTGCAGCGCGCCGCATATGCGTGCCGAACACGCCGCCCGACGTCGGTGATCGACTGATGCATGTGAACTGTGATTGCCAGTGGTTGCGTGCAACCGTGTGAGTTCGTTGCGAGTTCGTGCCGTAGTAACCCTAGTGGTGCAATCTCAGTAATTGCCTCCGGTAAGTCGTGACGTTTTGTTTAATAAAAATTACCATAGCACACCGAGGGGCACGGCCGTCTATTACATTAGTTTTTAGCCTTATCAGTTACTAAAGCGTAGTCTCGCTTTATGGAGCGCGTGTCAATTACAGCCCTTAAAAAAGGAAATTAATTATTAAGATAATCATAAAATTAAACTCTCATGCGATTAATATTACTTTAGGAGGAGAGCTATGATAATAAAAATCTTTAATATGCTTATCATATGGTTCAAATAGAAAAATAGTGCAGAATTAATTTGATAAAGATAGGAAAAATAAGGAGGGGGCGCACCTCGGCCACGCAATACTAATTTATTCAGACCATCGCCATAAAAGGCAAAATATTCAAGGGAATATCAAATTAAATCTACGATCAAGCTAAGACGTCATAGAAAATTTATGAGTTCGGAAATATATGAAGCTTTTACACACTTCAGACTAAAAGCGTAGATAACTTCAAATTAAAACGTATAGATAAATAATGAACAAAAACTACGAAATTTAGATTACTATTGGTGCAAGCAACTGAAGCATGGGCTTTAATCACGTATATATTTATTATACATAAGATCCGAAACATTTAACCTACTATTGTGTTCAGGAAAGATTCTGGGAATCTGGGAAAGAATCTAATCAAAGTCTATCTGACTTTAATACCATTTAAAAGCGTAAAGTCGTTTATTTATATTTACAATTATATTATCTTTACAGTTCTATAAATTAAACGTCACTATTATTAAATTTTGAATGACTTACCATTACTAAGTGCAGAATCTAAAAATACTTAAATAGACTTATACCATTTTTTACAATTAGATTAGACTTTAATACAATTTTTCAAGCGCAGTGTTTTACGTTTTAATAAAACTTCTATTACACGTAGTTAAATTTTCATATCTGACATTCCAAACTGCATTCCTACATGAAAATACCTTTCCAGTGTGAAATCATTAACGCTAAGAGGGTTGAGCCGTTTAAAGTTATTCCCATAAGACTGTTTAGTATAACTTTTTCGCTACAAGCTTTCAAATTATATCGTCCTGGAGTTGTGCATAAACCAATCTAGTCATTTCTTATAAAATTAATTTCAAGAGAGAAAATAAGATAAGGATTCGTTTTCATTTAGAACTAGCATTTAAAATTAGTTTATGAAAACTATTGGTAACGGTCGCCAATGAATTTTTGTTCCTTACTTGATGCAAACAGAGCATCATAGTTTTGTGTAATATGAGCTTTTTTAATTGAAATGTTCCTCATTATAATTTTTTCAACAAGAACAGAAATATATTGAGTGAAATGTTACGTTCAAAATATAAAATGCTGTGTAATTAATCACTATTATTTAAATATTTTTTTAGAGCACTAAAGGATTGCAAGTATTACAATTTTTGTTTAAAATTAGTATTTCAGCCTATCTATTACTATTATCATCAATCAAGTCAAATCGTAATTTTTGTTTTTTCATGTGGAAATATTCCGAGCAAGCAGACTTCACCTGATGTTAAATTAAGAGTACCGCCCATGGACTTCTACAACACCCGATGGCTTGGTGATGCGTAGAAAACCATTAAAAAAAGATAGCCGAGGTCCAATTTAAAAAAGTGGTCCAATGAATGTACGAAAAGTATATCACCTACCATTCTTTTATATAAGCAAACTCTGACATTCTTAATCTAAAAATTAAGCTTTTATTGAGCAGTTTTCCCAACTTTAGGTATTATGTCAATAACATTTTTGTTTTGGAGAAATCCGCCTTCGAAATTTCACAGTTCTGCAATAACATATTTTCAAATTGAAGACGCAATTTAAAGCAAGAAATATCAAAGCTTAAGCCTTCTGCCTCGTGGATTTGGACGCAGTCTCTCGAGAAATTTCCGTGTCTTGTACGAAGAGCCGAACAGCCATTTGATTTTTAAATAAAACCAAGGATCGATAGCTCTCCAGGTGCAGTTTTAAGAACATTAAATTTTTATATGACTTTCATCTGAAATAGTTTATAGAATAGTGTTGTACAAATATCTAATGCAAGAAATCCCATTTGTCTAAATTAAACATAATTTTCTGAAGAAGGGAAAGAAATACCTTATTCTCTGTTATTTTCTAAAAATGATTATTGTGTTCTTTTTTTCTCTTTAAAATAAGTGGATTTGTTTGTCATTTACTTTTTTTTTCCGGATAAATGACGAAATTTTCTTTGTTTTTAGATTTTCATCAAGGCTAGAATAATTTATGCCGGAATCTGTTGGGTCGGGATGCAGAGCGGTATTGATTTTGTACGGAAATAGCAACGAGTTCCTTTTATTCTCCTCGTTCAAATATTTTAAAACAGTGATCATTTTTGTGTTTATTATTTAAAATCAAAGTAGTGATTATTTTGCCCTGTTTCAGTTAGAAACACTTTGATTTCTTGTACGATTATAACAAAATCATAATTATGATGACATTCGCGTTGTGTTAAGTTTGATTTTTTATGAACATTGCAGTTTATTGCCCAAATGCACACTGCAGAGATAATAAAAAGTCGCACGATATGGTTGCTCACCAAGTTGAGTTCAAATAGCTATACAATAATTGTGTAACACATGTTACGTTTATCTTCTCTGTCTTTATTCTGAGTCTCCTCGTTGATGACAATATATCGCCACCCTTTCCTGATGTTATCACACAGGATAACAAAAGGGGAGGAAGAGTTAACTTGTATGTATAAGTGCAAGCAAGCGTATGTATAATACCGATCCAGAGTAATGAACGTTTTTAATGAAGGCTTCATTACTTTTTACATTAAAAGCAACTTAGTTGGCGTTACTTCCCATGCTCAGTATAACGTACTTCTGAATAGAAAACTTTTGATATCATAATCTTTTGTTAAACCGTGTAGGCAAATTCAAAGAATACTATGAATTCAGAAGATACTTTCAAAATCAATGAAATATAGCAAAACGTTAAAATAGTCTTTATATTTTAGGAAACACGCGTGTTGATCTTATCTTGCTTTCACGCTTGGTATTTCTAATTAAATAGGAAGTTTTTCATTTTAAACATACGGTTAATTCACGGACCAAATACCCATATTGTTATTAGTAAATATTTCTCATATCGATATATTTAACTGCACAAATATTAGCAGTGATCTCACAGAAAACAAAACACTAAAATGATTGTAACTATTGGTGAAAAAAAAAAAAAAGGTTATGGCAAATGTAGCCTAACGTATATTTTAATAAAATAAATGGACAATACAACGATTGTCATCCATTGCAGCGTTTTAGTCGAATTTGTTTTTCTTTAATATTTACTTTAGTTGAAACACTCCGATATATGTTATTTCTAGAGTATAACGTTCACTCTTTAAGTAATTTTGTTAAGTTAATAGTAGGTATGTTGTATGTACAGGTAATCTATGTATTGTGAGTTCAGGGTGTTAGAAAGAAGTGCAATGTATCAAACAAGTTATAATGTTAAATGCGAGTATGTTATTACATATAACATCAACAAGTCATCTATTAAGGAACACTAAAGAAGCAATTAATAAAGAATGTAACTTCAGTTTATAAAATGTGGCTAAATAAAAGGAAAATAGCCAAGACATTTAGATTATTATACTATATTGGTTCAAGCGAATGAAGTACGGGGTTCAATCTAGTGTATATTTATTGTACATAAGATCCGAGACATTTAACTTACCATTGTGTTGGGGAAAGAATCCGGGTATTGTATAATTTGGCGTAATACAGTAGCAATCCACTAGGATCTTAATACAAATATTTAAAAGCGTAAAGTTGTGATGAACAAAAAATACTTCATGATGCTTAAATATATTTTTGATGTGTTTAATGCAGTATAACCGAATTGGACATGATAATATTACCGATGGTGGAGTCGGTATTTCATCGGGTTGTTTAAGTATTCAAATATAAGGAAGAACATTAATAATTGTAAGGTAAATAGTAAAGCCGCAATAATTAATATACCTACAACACTTTTGTCAAGGTTACGTTGTCGGTAATTAATTTTTATTGGTAGTGTTTTGTCCTACGGTATATTTGTTTTATTTAAATGCTAAAATTAAGTTTAGTAAATGTAGGTTGGGTACTAATAATTTTCCTCTGAAAGTTACGAAACATACCGTTTGGAGTGTGGCTGCATATGACCTAGTAATCCTGTTTTAAACTTTATTCTAAAAGTAGATGGATTCATTTTAATTCCACTTAGGAAATATCAAAAAATAGAAATAATTTCGTTTCAATTGTTGTTGTTAAAAATAGATTTAAATAATGCTGAAATTAAAAAAAGCTTTACTTATTTGTCTCAATCGGATTTACAAAAGTGTGCTGTAAAGATTTATAAAGGCCGAAAAATTCACCTGATAGATAAAATGCTGATGTATGGCGAAGAACGTTCTATTGTAACACTGGTACTAGAGATTTATTGGTAAAAACTGCAGTGCTACGCGGAATAAAGGTTTAAAAAACGGTGAAACAAAACAAATGCGAAATTGGCTGGTGGTCGCGAACAAACTGCCGCCCACTACGAATGTCCCGCATAGTAATCATGCAAGGGTATATTGGAAAATTTAACAACACTAACATGAGTATTTAATGAAGACAACAAAAGTGAAAATATTTAATAGCGTAAAGAAAGCCGAATTGTATCTAATGGTGCATTTGAAATGAAGAAATTTCTTTGTTCTTTCTTATTTTAAAGGGATAGCAACTAAACAAGTGGTAGATGAAACTGTTGATAGCAAATGGTGACTGCCGCACTACCACTTCATGCCGATAGGAATTGGAAGTATTATACTTTCACGTTTCGTCTGGTGAGTGAGGTAGCCGGAGCCCAATTTTCAATAGGTTGTCAAGGCATCTGCAACTCTCGGGTGTA